GCCCAGGGAGCACAATGTGCTGATGGTAAATGCACAAATACAACAATAGATACATGCTCTCTGTGTATTTTGACGGGGACGTTCGTGTAGAGCGTCAAAAAATAGGATGGATCCTATTTTCTGAAATCTACACGCACAGGACGTGCTGCTCCGCGCGCGTATTATTTTACTTGGTACATATGTCAGTAACGCGCGTCACAATGCTTTTTAACCTGGATTGAAATGGTGGGTTTTTCGTTTTTCTTCATACAAATTTGCTAAAATCACCGCGATATCAGCAGCGGTGAAACGCCGGAGGTGCGCCCCGCGTAGACCGTGATCCTGAGCGAAAGGACCGACGCAGAAGTCCGCGCTCCACCGAGATAAACGCAGCTGACGCCCGATCGCACTCGGGGTTCTCTCAGGGGCGGTCCTAGATTCCAAGTTCTAGTCCAGGATTAGTCCTGGTTTGGTCCTGGTGTAGTCTTGGTTTAGTCCTGGTTCAGTTCTGGTTCAGTCCTGGTTTATTCTGGTTTAGACTTGGTTTAGTCCTGGTTCAGTTCTGGTTTAGTCCTGGTTCAGTTCTGGTTTAGACCTGGTTCAGTCCTGATTTAGACCTGGTTTAGTCCTGGTTTAGACCTGGTTCAGTTCTGGTTTAGTCCTGGTTCAGTTCTGGTTTAGACCTGGTTTAGTCCTGGTTTAGACCTGGTTCAGTTCTGGTTTAGTCCTGGTTTAGACCTGGTTTAGTCCTGGTTCAGTCCTGGTTTAGACCTGGTTCACTCCTGGTTTAGTCTTGGTTTATTCCTGATTTAGACCTGGTTTAGTCCTGGTTTAGACCTGGTTCAGTTCTGGTTTAGTCCTGGTTCAGTTCTGGTTTAGACCTGGTTTAGTCCTGGTTTAGACCTGGTTCAGCTCTGGTTTAGTCCTGGCTCAGTTCTGGTATAGACCTGGTTTAGTCCTGGTTTAGACCTGGTTCAGTTCTGGTTTAGTCCTGGTTTAGACCTGGTTTAGTCCTGGTTTGGACCTGGTTCAGTTCTGGTTCAGTTCTGGTTTAGTCCTGGTTCAGTCCATATACGGTGCAAAAGTTCAGCATCTTAAAGGGATAGTTCGGATTTTTTGACATAAATCTGTATGGCATCCCCGTCATCAGTGTTGTGCATCCACACCGACTTACCCCCCGAAAGCCTCTGGTGAGCCGAGATACTGGCCCATTTTGGTGCTGAGGAAAGTAGTTCGGCAAGTTGTGTGGGGACTGTACACTAAAGCGTTTTTCTTCTCAAAGCAATATGTGTTCAAAAGAGTGATACATTTGCATCACAAAACCATCGTCGCCAAAAAAGTCAGATCTCATAATCGCTTGGTGCTATTTTCTCTCCGTACGTACCACTGCCGCCAGGTGACAGCCGCGCACCGATCCATCACTTTCTTCAGTTCGGCAGTGTTTACATGCGCAGACCGCATGTATGGGATGCCATACAGATTTATGTAAAAAAATCTGAACTATCCCTTTAACAGTTCTTCTGGTGAGAGTAAATTAAAAGTGCTGCAATAGTCATATAATGTTTTACATTTTAAATACAGTAATATTGTAATGTAACAAATGACTTAGAAATGACAGTAACAAGTCATAAATAACACATTACAGTTTTAAAGGCACTTGTCCAACAGTGTATCTTGTAAAGTTGTTGTAAACTAGAAGTCAGTTTGAAAAATAAATGCAGCCTTTCATTTACAGATCTCATCTAAATATAAAATGAACTGAACTTTGAACTAGTTCAAAATTAAAATTGTGAACTATGAACGTGAACTATTCACTTTGAACAAGTGTGAACTGAACTTTGAACTAGTTTATGAAAAGTGTGAACTTGCACAACACTGGCGCTATGTAACGTTTCTGGTAAGAGTCCAGCGCCTGATTGTGTCTGTGGAGATATGCTAGAGAGATTGCTTTCCCTGGAATGCAACGCAGTATGGCTTTAAACTTGCTTATTACTTAACTATAGGTGTTTTTACAATAAAACAATACCTTGAAAAATATCAGACTTGTAAATTGGCTTGGTGCTTGTCCTGGAAACGGATAGGTTTAATATCATTCTGTGAAAATTTCCAGGCAAAGCAACAACATTTCCATGGTGACGGACCCTCCACCCAGAAAGTTACACAGTGCACCTTTAAGCTCAAACAGCATGGTCCTAGATCAAGACTAGATAAAGCGCTAACTGTTCCAGCTTGCTAAATCACTTGTAAACAATGCGTGCCAAGCTACAGTGATTTTCCCTTTGATCGTGCTTGTGTTTTCCCGTGTCTATCAGCGTGAAGCTACAGAACTGGCAGCGTTGGTGGCCATGTTGGAGAGGGAGGGACGGATGGATGGGGGGGGGGGGTCCCAGTAGGCTTTTCTTAAATAGGTGCATTTCTTAAAAAGGCTCCTCTTTCTATAATCTTTCTTACTATATGCACTGTGGCTGTACCTCGCTCTCATCCTCTCCTACTGTCCAATGAAAAAAAAAAAAGAAAAAACAACAGAAATCTGGCACTTCGTTAGCAAGCACAGACGGGAGAGTGGGACTGTCCAGATCTCCGGGGAGCAGGACAGAGAGGAGCACCACTAATTAGACAAGAGGGGGATAGCCACAAGAGCGTTTAATTGCAACACACAGACAGACGTGGGCCCAAAGCTTGTGCTGTAGTCCTGCGCACGGCACTTTTGGTGAGGTAACAGTCTTTTAAAGGCAAAGTGAGAAAAGTGAGGGAGGGAGTGGATTTTTTTTTTCTTTTTTTTTCTTTTAAAGGGCCTATAGTATGGCATCTATGTTATAATGTTGATTCCTCGTCAAAAACTTACCTGGAGTTTAATTTTGTTTCATTTACACATGTTTGAGTAACAAAGTTCAAAATGCTCAGTTCCACCTTGTGATGTCATGCATTGGTAGTTTTAAGTTAACAGCTCCTTTTTACCTTTAGTTTAATAGATCGGCAATTCCAGGACTGTAATCACCCAAATGATTCAAGTGAAGGTGTATGGAGTTTAAAAACACAGTGGATTACTTCCTGTATTACCACATGACATCACAAGGTGGAACAGAGTGTTTCCTTCTGTGAGAAGAACTCAGTCTAAATATACAGGGTTTGTGTGTGGAACCTGTGAATGAATCAAAACAAATTTACAGGTAAAGTATGTTTTTGATGAGGAAACAACATTATAACGGATGGATCAGAAAATCCCATAATATGGGCCCTTTACAGACACATGGTCTTATACTAGTAGTACTTACAATAAACATCAAGATCATACTAAAACTGTTTGTTAAAGGGTTTTTGTCTTATTTAATTCTGTATTCTTCTGTACTGATACCTGTTCAAATCAGTATCTAGTTCCATTACTAAATTTTCTATTTCTTAGTATATGGATGCTTTTTCTGTTGATTGTTTTATATTGCATTTTTGAGCTACTCTTTCCAAGTAATTTCTCTAGTGGATAAGTAAAGTTCATGAGTGGTAAGATAAGTGACAGGGTGGATGTTGCTTTCAGTGCTGAAACAGTCACAGCAGTAGGAGTGGAGGTAGCTGCAGTTTTAATAGTGTTGGTATTAGTATTTTGTGGTGCACTTTTTCAAATGTAATGTTATGAGTTTTCTTCTACTTGAAAACATTTTGAACAATAAATATGTTTACTCCGCCAATTCTTAAGTACATTTTGAGTGTTATGTCATTGAATCGGGCTTGTTTGTGCTGAAAAGGACCATTTAACACTTAACCCATTGAAAAGCTAAATTACGCTATTAGTGTATTTTGTCCACAAGGTATTTTAGCAGATGGCAAAGCCTATCATCAATGCCTATCACCTTTCAATAGTGGAATTGTTACACTTTAAAGCGAGTGTTGATTTTTTACTTAGTATTTTTAATGTTCTACCATGTTATAACAGTGTCCCCTCATCAAAAACAGGCATGAAGAGGTTTAAAAATGTAATCCATGCATGTTTCAGTAATTTATCAATCTCTCCCCTATTTGAACCTTCCTTACAGTTAAGATGCAAGATTCTGTCCAGTGTTGAGCCCACAATCCTACATCATCCATGCTCCCACACGAAAATTTTACTTAAATATATAAAAACATGATACAAAATCGTACGCAACAACTTCACACACCCAATGCGAAGTACAGTAATTTTATTATTGGGATGTACGCTTATTGTGTTGTGATAGTGCTCTGAAGGGGAAGTGACTTAGGACTCACAAACAAAAGTTAAATTTTAATACATTGTTTTCAGCTATTTAGTAAATTTTTGAAACAAAAATATACCCACTGATTTTAAGGTATGTTGTTTTATTTGTTTCTGCTCAAATGTCTGAGCAGTTAAAGTGACTTAATCCCTGTGAATTTCTAATCATAACTCATTTGCAGAAGAAAGCAATGCATATGTGGACTTTTCATTTCTTATGTACAGTATAATTTTTTACCACACCAGTGAAAGTGAACGAGCACCTTGTCCATAAATTATTTGTAGACATCACCAGATTTTTGCTCACATATTCAAGCTTATATATTCTTTTATATTCATTGAAGCCATATCAACAAAAGAAGACATGTACAGCTTACTCTGTCCCATCTCATTTGTACTGTGAAATGATGATGTTATAACTGTACTTCTGGGTCCAATGAAATTCCTGCCTCATTCATCATAATGTCATTTTTCTCCATGATTTTGTATATTGCTGTTTCATACATAAATGACTAACTTATTTTGACCTTATAATATATGTCTGAAAAGAAAACTGCTTACATACTCAATTCTGTGTAAAAATAGGTACACCTTTTTATATTTTTTAATGTCTCTTGATATTATCTTTAATTCATCAGGAGGTTCAAAGTCCCTGTATCTGTATCTATATGAAACTTAGAACAGTTTACCTATTGAACACTGTATTGTCATTTGAAAACCCAACACTACAAACCATCCTACTTGATCCCACATATTGGTTATTATTGAGTTTTGCTATGCACTTTTGTCCTCACAGCAATGGTACAGCCACATCAGAAGACTTGTTCTGGAAGCTGGATGCTCTGCAGATGTTTGTGATGGACTTGCACTGGCCTGAACCTGAGTTTGCCAAACACCTGGAGCAGAGGCTTAAACTGATGGCCAGTGACATGATGGAGGCCTGTGTCAAGAGGTTAGACACACGTCCAGCTAAATCCTAAGGCATTCAAATATGTGGTGTTATTTTGAAGTATTTAGTAATTTGGCCATTTCCCAATTTCATTCATTAATAGCAAGTTAGTATAATTAATTTATTCATTTATGTTTCTAGAACAAAGTCAGCGTTTGAGTCAAAGATGCAGAAGTCCAGTAAATCAACTGATTTCCGGGTGCCACTTTCGGTCTGTACCATGTTTAATGTACTGATGGATGCCAAGAAGCAGTGCTCCAAACTCTGTGTGCTGGACACGGGCCAGGAGGTGGGTGCCATAGCATAACACTCTTCTACTGCACAGCTGAGCAAGTAGTGATAGGCCCATGGTGGTCAGTACTTAGATGTACTGTTACACTACATGTTTCACCTGACATGCGTTTGCAGCTATAGGGAAAGGCTATAAACTGCTTAAGTGGCTGCCGAGAGAAGCTTTTGAGGTTCAAGTCTAAAACCAAGTTCAGACTGTAATATGTGATGTCTTCATACAATAATGCAGAATGCACAAGTGTTTCACACGGACACTTGCTTTAGCATGTAAAGTGTTGAGTGAATGTGTCCAGCCCACCTCTCTGTGTTAAACCTGTGGTCCTTGGTCAGTGTGGGAGAGCCTGCTGAAGCCTGAAGTAGAGTTTTCTTTGCGGCTGGCTGCTGGAGGTCAGAGCTGTGTCTGAGCTGCGCTGAAAGCCTGCGCGCTGAGTTCAGGTGTATTTGTATTCACTGCAAACAGCCCCGCGCTCCACTGGCTGTTAAATGGATGACCATAAAGCAGCTCGGCTCTAGCCTTGGCGCCGCTGAGAGCCAACCCTTGGCCAATGTCGTCTTGACAGAGAGCTAAGCTCGCTGTTCTCTTAACCTTCACTCCACTGCTCACCGAGTCAGCCTGATCAATTATTCTGTGGAGAACTCCAGACCAGCACTAGCTCTGACTGGTACCACTACAGCTGCACACGCAGAGAGAGGAGGAGTTTATATCAGCTCTATTAGGATATACAGGCAACAGCTATTGCTACAAATAAATATTGTCCTTGTGGGTAAAGTTTGAAAAGACATGAATACATTTTATATTTTGCCTTAGTTTGAAGCTAATAGAGCACAATGAATCATTGATCTGATGCAGTTCATTTAAACACAGCTCAAACAACAGTTTGAGATTCTCTTTGTCACACATTTAATTTAGTTACATATTCTTGTACTCGAGGTACTGATAAATGTATTGAAAAGTGTCCTTATCTCCTCAGTAGGTGAGGCATTTAGGCCTTTAGTACCCTAGGATACTATAGGATATTTCGATATATATTTCTTAGCAGTAGCAGTAATTTGGGCTGCCCAAATTAAAGCACTTTTTTTCATGTCAGCAGTATATAATAATAATAATAATAATAATAATATTAGATTATATGTATGTATGTATACCATGCCTACCTTCATCTCATGATGTTTTTATTCTAATGAAATCCTATTATGATTAGACAGTTATTCAATAGAGCTATAATAAACAGGAAAACGAAACTGCCAGAGAATAAATAAAATTTCTCTAACTTAAACTCAGTTTTATACTCAAAGTTGTTTTTCATTTGTAATTGCGGTGGAGTTAGTTAAGTTTAGCTGTAATGAGTTGCCAGAGCGGAGCTGTTTTTTAATTGAAATTGCATGTTTTGACTACAGCCCTGGCAACTGCATCAAGAGAATAATTTTTATATTAATTCATGACAAAATCTGAAGCCATGACTGATGATTTAATTAAACTGTCTGTAAATCTGGTTATTTTTTTATCCTGAAAAAAGAAATATGTGATGACTGTCTTCTATTTGTCAGACAGCAGCTAAATACCTAAATTAAAATGTATCTAGTCTAGGCAGTGTTTTTATATTGGGAGATAATATGTTAAGGAATTGTTATTTGCCGGTGCCATTTGCCATTAAAAGTGCATTATGTAACTTTTCTGATGGTGTGTCTGTCACCTATTTTTAACTGTATTTTTAAAATTGTATTTGTTTATTGTTGTAACCTTGTTGTGGCAACCTTGATTGTCCAGAAAGGCACCTAATAAATAAAATATATATATATATATTATTATTATTATTTGTCTCCATGGAGATCTCATGGCTTTGAATGGAATGTTTCACAGAATGGCATTAAATGTATCTGCATGGATCAGTTTTTCAGTGTATTTAAAGTCTATATTTCAGGTTAGACTAGTAATTTCACTAAAACATAGTTAATATTTGTATATTTAATAAAATCTTAAATACATTTTTTTTTCTTTTTTATTATTTTAGTGATGTTTATAATTTCAAAGTTTGACATGGGCAGCAGATGTGACATATATAGAGGTAATTTTAATAACTTACCTGGCAACCATAATATAAAGGGCCAAAGCTTGTCAGAATTACACAGCATCACAACATTGTCTCTGCATTGTGGATGCTGATAACGCAAGTAGAGCTAGTGTATGCATTTTTGTACTTTTATTTTATTTGCTACATTTTTCAAACAAGCTGTCACTCAACTGATGTAAAACTGTGATAAATATTTACACATACATATGTGCTGTCCCACCAATTCAAGTCATAATTAGAAAATCATGAAAACCTGTCATGTGCACTTTTAAAGGGGGCAGTTACTATGGAGACACAATGCACACATTAGCAAACATAATCTGATACGTTTTTAGATGGTTTAAAAAGTCAGTATATTTTTCAAAATGGATTTAAGTGCATTTTCATATATATAATATTTTCACATATATATATAAAATATAATATGAGTGTTCGTTTCATTTAGGTGTTTGATTTTCAACAAAAAAGTGAGTCAGATTAAAGTCTAGTATTTGAGTAACAGAGCTTCAGACAGAGCAGTGCATCTGGTTAGCTTGACCAGTAATGCTGAAGACACCAGTTGCAAAGTGTCAGTATATTTTTGTTTACCCAAACTGTATCAGCTATATTTTATTAACTACATACCAAATGTATTTGAATAGACCTGAATGCAAGATAGATTAGTTTAATGCCATTCTGTGGAATGTCTAGACAAGCAATAACATCTCCATGGAAACAAGTAAGTGACGGAACTCTCACCAGAAAACTTACATTGCATCTCTAAGGACAATAAATTATAATTTATGTTGAACTATAATTACCACACTATTAAGTATTGTGTTTTAACAAATTAATTAAAAGTGCATATTTACAGTTAACTGTTAACTATTAATTTTAATAAAGATAATCATTATTTTTATACATTCATTTATTAATAAGTTTTAATTAATTATTGTTAATTGTTATATGCTTTTAGTTCTTTATACAGTTTTTTTTTTTTTTTTTTTTTTTTTTAATGACGTAGACTTTCATAGGCATTAGCGTTGTCAAAAGTATTGAAAATCAGACACTAATCGATACTAAAACTTATATCGAAACCAGAAACTAGATATTCATTTGTGCAGGTATCAATACTAAACTAGTCACATTCACAGGGCAGAAATGAAAGTTTCCTGAATAGCTTTAGAATGATTTTGAGCTGTGTCTGAACAAGTATAAGAGCACATAGACTAGTATACACACATCGACCGCTATGGAACCTGCCTGGACAACTGATGGATTACACAGATATAAGGCCACATGGTTATATAAAAGAAAGTACTATGACGGAATGTTCGAAATCACATTATGTTGCCAAAATAAAGTTTTTGGTTATCGCAGTAGCTGTACTGAGTTTCGAATCTATTCCTTGGTATTGAAATTGACTTTTAATTTAAGTATCGTGACAACATTAACAGAACTTCACGCAGGATTCCCAACAACATCATAAACCAGTGAAATATGTACAGTAGATATGATAACAAATTCCATTATATAGAAGTGCTGATCTGCAGCCTTAGTCTTTACATTGCCAGTACATTTGTGTATGCATTTGACCTGTTTGCCTCTCTCTCTCTGTTGCATGTGGCCCTCCCCGCATGTCCATATGTCTCACACCCGTCATTGTTTGAATCCAGACTGACAAACAATGGGTAAGTGCTCCAGGCTTAACATGGATCTCTCCTCACCACCACATTTTCAGCATGACAATTCACACTATATTTGACTTCATCCACATGTCAATTAATAAAGGAGATGTGTGTGAGATTCTGATAATACCGTACATTTCACAAACATCAGGTGAACACATTCAAACCAACTGTTGACCGAAAGTTATTTGTTACATTAAGATGTACATAGATAAATATTGTGCTTTTAAAGGTCCAATATTATACAAAATGTACTTTTTTGAGCTTTAAGCCATGTCAGAATGTTAAAAACACACCCAGAGTGTGTGTTTTGGTTCATTCACACATAAAACTGAGTAAGCCTTTGCTACAAGGGTGTAGGTTTGCAAAGGGATGGTGAGGACATGTCACAACCAATATTTGGGGAAGACAAAATAGCCCCTACTAATATTTGACAGTTTATTTTTATAATAAAAAATATAAATTTATTCCAATATTTTTCCAAACTCAACACATTTTAATTCACATTTTGTTTATCAGACATTTTGAAATGTATTCAGTGATGTGATGACAGGGTTACCCCTGCCGCTATTTCATTGGCTGCAACAGAGTGATGTCATTAGTGGTGCCAGGAGGTTAAACTGAGGAAGCGGCAGGACAGGGCCAGCACCCAGAGATGGCCGCTGGAGCAGGCGTGAGTGAAGACGCTGCACACCAGGCTTTGAAAAACTTTTCTAAAGGAACTTACTTCTTCTTACTTCTTACTTGCTTCATCTTCAATTAAATTTGCTTTATATTGAGTCGCCGCAGAAAAAGAGCGACTCTCATCACAAGTGCACCTCCCAAACGGAGCCCTGCTCGTGCGCTGTTAGCAGCCGGACTCTATTGACAGTATTCCATGGAAAAATGTTTGGACATGACCTCACAAATATCTCATCACCAACAAGCAAAGGGAAATCACAGTGGAACACTTCCTGTATTCAGTTTGAGAAAAAAATATGCAGGATTTGTGAGTTAAACATGTGTGAAGGAAACAAAACACAACTCCAGGGATGTTTGCGATGAATACATAAGTCAGAAAATGGCATAATATCGGCCCTTTAAATTGAAAACTATAGATCATCCAAGTACCATTTTCGTCTCACTTTCCCGACTTTTTTTTTGCTCTCCAAATATATCCTACTGACCCCATCCATCTCTAGTGTCCCTATGCCCCCTTCTGCCCCTTCTGCCCCCCCTGCCCCCCCTGCCTCCTCTGTGCCCTCTGCTCTCTGCCCGGGCCACAGTGCGCCCAGTGAAGCACACATTTGATAGCACAGCCTCTATAAGTGCATCCCAGCGCAGTGCCCAGTCCCAGGGGCCGGGCCGGGTCAAACGCACAGCCAACAATCTGTACTTGATCATTTTAGGTGGAAAACTCTCACGATTCCAACACAGCCAGCAGAATACACACAAATGAAGGAGTTATTTATGTTTTAAGAATGATTTCTAAAAGATAAATGTTTGATAAATGAAAGATGTTATGCTTGTTTGTAGTTTACATTATACATTTTTGATTCGAAGTATGAATAATATGCGAGTAATGAGCAGTTTAGAACTTTGGTACATGTCATTTTCATTTTTAATAACAAACATAAAAAGTAACTGGAGTTTTTTAACAACATATTTAACTTTGGCAGTATTTATTTTATTTTCACACAAAGTGCGGTAGGTTTACTACATTTTTGCAATGAAACTTGACACTGGTTTACTGTATTGTAATTAAATTTTTAGTTTTTAGCAACTTTTAAAATTTGATTCAGGGAAGTCTATTGTGTGGGTGAGAATAAAGTTCTGTTGGCAAACTGGTTCATGAAATTATGTCAAGTAAAACAATAACTATATCTGGCAATCAGAATTGTGTCAAAAATTGTACTTGAGTAGGACTCCAAAAAGTCTAAGAAATTGCTTGAGTAAGGGTAAAAAAAAAAGCTTTGGGAAATACTTCTCAAGTAGTAAGAGTAACTCTAAAGTGTTGTGGGTTAATGTAAACTGAAAGACGATACATAAGGACAGACTGCAAAAATGAGAAAAAATAACACATATGATGAGATGCACAAGAAAAATATTCCAATAATTTAATATTGTTAACATAAAGCATACTATAAACTCATTTTGAAGTGTGACCAAAACTTTAACTCGTTACTTAAGTTAACAAAAATACTGAGTACATCCTGAGTGGTGGAAGAAGTACTCAATCTAGTTATTGAAGTAAAGGTCCAGATACCAGAGAGAAAAAAAGAATACTCAAGTAAAAGTAAATGTATCACATGAAAAAATCATCTTAAGTAAAATTATTAAAGTATCAAAGATGCAAAAAAAAATATGAAGATGCAAAAAAAAAAAAAAAAAAAAGGCTTTCCTCAGGGGACAAACAGGATGTTTGTCCCCTGAGGAAAGCCATAGGCTGAAACACGTCGGGACTTTTTAAGTTGTCCATTAAGACATGCCGTAAACTAATAAAGGCATTTTATTTTGAACCAGTGAGTGCCTTGGGTTTTTTTTTTTTTTTTTTTTTTGCATCTTTGTACTGACTTCCCTTCCCAAAGAGCACCACTGAGTTGGATCTACTGTGTATTATCCTCTGGAGGTCCAGGAAGCGCTTCTTCTGAAACATTTTTTATTAAAGTATCAGTTTAAAATGTAAAGAGTAAAAGTATTTCACACAGATTTTGAGGTTTGAGGAAAATGTAGTGATTTTGATTAAGAGTTGTGCTGAATTTTGTTCAGTTTTTCCTATATTATATTCCTACATTTCCTATATTTTTGTTTGTTCAAAGTATGAACATGTAAAAAAAACAACCCCTCAGCCTTTTCAGCAGGTCAATAATAAAAAAATAATTTTACATTTCAGACCTGTTCAAAAATCTAACTGAGTAGAAAGTACAGATACTGTCTCTCAAATGTAGTGAAGTAAAAGTAAAAATATCCACTTAAAAATCTCTAGTACTCAAATGTAGTGAAGTAAATGTAAAAAAGTAAGTAAGTAAAGTACAGATACCTTTGCTACTTTTACCCCGTTACGTTCCACTACTGGTTTTGACCATTGCTTTGTTATAAGACATTCATATCTAACTTCTTGGACACTCAAAACCACTTAACATTGCATTTTCCATTCAGTCCCTACACATATTAACTACAGTATCAAACGTTCCAATACTGTGCCAAGTTTGAAGTTTATGGAGAAGTTTATCTTTGGTGAAAATAGCATCACTTTAGTTTGCCTTCAATTGTCCCTCATCAAAAACAGCCAACACTGCTGAAGTAGCCTCAACTCAGCCTTCGTATAAATGTTTTTCAAACCAATAATTGTCCTTTTCACATGTGGCAAAGACTGAACAACCTCCCAGCTCTCCCTCGCTTTTCTATTGGGGTCGGGAAAGCCATCCAAAAGCGCGTTAATTGAGGCGAGAGTGGGCAAAAACAGCTCTCAAGAATGGCCAGGAAGATTTGAAAAGCGAACTGCCATTTTGTGGTTTAAAAAGGGGTTAGAAAAAAATTGGGCCTGGCGACGCTGACCTCCCCCGACCCGCAATTTGTCAGCGATCTCGGGCTTTGTTGATGGAAATTTTTTAATTTGGGGGTGCTTTAGACATCTCGTGAAAAGGGCATTGTCGGTAAAAGATGAACTCCCAAGCTGTTGGTCTTTCAGCGCTCACAACCAGCCTATTTAGCCAGCTCCTTCAAGGGAAAATCTGCCACGAATATGTTTCACATTTTCGGGAGCAGGGGGCAGGGAGGAGGCGAACGGGACGTAAAATGGCGTATTAATTGAATCTTGTGTGAAGTCTTTGGTCTTCGCAGCTGGACCAGTGCTTTGGAGAGCGCACAAGGCTGCTCTAATTGTCGGCCTCATCGCACAAAAAGTATCCTTCGAATTCCTCCGCCGAACGGGAATTCCATTCAGGGACATAATGGTCCTATTAGCTGCTTAACTCGCCAGCTTTGCGCGGATGGGAAGGGGGAGGGAAGAGGAGTTGCTGTGTATGTGTATGTGTAACTGTATGTGTATCTGTATCTGTATCTGTATGTGTATCTCTATGTGTACCTGTATGTGTGTGTCTTAAAGGGAAGGAGGAATTTTTGCTTTTGTGCTTTAAGTTTTTTCTGAGTTAAATAAATGTTATTTTTGTTTGTCCCTTAGCAACAGTACCACTCCAAAATTGACGTGCTAATAGATGACACGTTTAAGGAAATGATAGCTTCACTGGTGTCGAAGGTAACGCCCACTCAACGGAATTTTCTTTTGTTTATTTATTTATTGTTTTGTATTATCTTTCTTTCTTTTTTCTTTTTTTTTTTTTTTTACAGTGTTGTCATTCTTTTCCATCTTTTCAATCCTACTGGTTGTAAATGACTTATTTTCTACAATGTACAGTTACATGTGCATTCAAAATCGGACTATTTTCAGATTTGTGTAGTTGTAAGATTATAAAAATTACGTTTAAACAGCAAAATCATTTCATTTCTCTCTGATCACGGTCCCTCTGATCAGTCACATGAGATTTTGTGGTTATATTTCTTTTAAATCATCTTAAAGGTGTTACAATTTCTTTATAATGTATAGTTAGATGTTCTTTTGAATATATTTAGCATTTTTATAATCCTTCCTGGTTCTTTTTATAATTAAAAGACATTTTGATAGTTTTGTAATATGTGCTTTATGAATTTAAAGAAAATCACCATTATTTGATTTGGTAACAGTTTATGATATGTGTAATTAGTCTTAAATACAGCCTGAACAAGGACTGAATCATAATAGTTTATTAAGAATGCTTCAGGCTTAGGGACTACTTAAACTATTAACTATAACCCCTTAATTAACTAGAAGTAAAGTGTAATCTGCATTTTGTTACAGTAAATTATCCAGATAGGTTTACTTCCTTGTCTTAAACATTTTGGGAAGACGTACATTTGAAGCTCAGATCTTCTTCTCTTCATAAATAACTTTTTTTGACAAGTGTTCAAGTAAATATGTCTGAAAAGTGTCACCGATTTGACCAGTTTCCTTTGTTTTCTTCACAGTTTTCATCAGTTCTGGACGGCGTTTTGTCCAAACTCTCCAGATATGATGAGGGGACCTTGTTCTCCTCCTTCCTCTCCTTCACCGTGAGTCTTCCTGTTAAACTCCACACTGTTACTGATCGCTCACTAAAACCAGACACTATTTTACTTTTACTCTCCTTTTCTCCCTCTCCTCTCCTCTTCTTTCTCATCTCTTCTCGTCTTTCTCTGCCCTCATCAAAGGTCAAAGCTGCCGCCAAATATGTGGAAGTTCCCGTGAGTTTTCATGATATGTGTAGTCATAGTGGGTTACCATGTTTGTCTTGTTTCATACATTCAAACTAACTTGAAAAATGCAAAATGCCCACTTGTTTTTACAGATTCATACCATTTATTTATTCATTTATTTAAATTCATTATCAGTTAGGCTGAACAATTTTGAGCAAAACATTCTATTTGCAGTATGGGGGAGGCGTTCTTCTGATTTTACCTTGGTTTATTCCTGAAGTAGACTCAGTTTAGTCCTGTTCTAGTCCTTATGTAGTCTTAGTTCAGTGTTGAGTCCCCATTTTGATACACTTTGCAAGATTTTTTATTTTTTATTTTTTGGTAGATTCAAACACTTTTAGAAGCATAAACATTTGAGATAAGACTGGAATATAAATTTAACTTACCGTATCTAAGAATTCTATGCATTTCTTAAAGGTGCTCTATGTAACTTTCTGGAGGGGGGTCTGCTTAAAAAATGTATTTAAAAAAAAAGACTTTGTGAGTGTAATAGCCCCTCAGATATGACCCGTAACTTGACCTGCTGGTCTCTGTAGAGCCAAGTTTAATGCCACTCTTTGAGGAAAAGCAGTAAAGACTATTGAGAAAAGTTACACTGTGCATCTTTAATATATTTCCAGAGGCTTAAACCATAGAATTGTCAAGTTTTATACATAACAAGACCCCATATACAACAAGAGGTTTGATTCTCTGCCAAAGATATTTCTCTGCATTACCTAAACAGCTTCTAATTGCGAGCACTCAAACTGCAATTTCATTACCATTTTGATGAATCCGCCAGCCCTCGTCATCACGTTTAGTCAAACCTTTACGAAGAATAAAGAGCATTTTTCTCGAGATCACGGCGCGCACCTAATTAATTGCTCCCTCGTCCTCGGAGAAGTGTCACTTTGTGGGCGGTGTAGCGTTGAACGGGTGAACGCCTGACTGGCACGTAGCATCTTAAGATTGCAGCGTTGGCCAAAACACTGGAAGAGATGACGCAGGGAGATAAAGGAGCAGAGGTGACGAGGTTTGGCATCGAAAAAGGTGTGAAGAGGATGGATAGTTTTTTGTTTTTTTAAATCTAAATTAGATGTGACCCAAAGAGGCGACCCCCCCCATTTTGCAAACAGTGATTAGTGCGTCAAAATTAACAAAGTAAAATCCCTCGGTGAATTGGGTTCCTAAAAGTCTTCATGTCTTAAAAGTGCTCCTGGCGTTTCCTTAATAAAATGTCCATTGAGAGTTGATATATTTGTGTTTTTCAGGATTAAGTCCAATTGAAAAGGAAAAGATATTTTGCAGTTATAAAGAGCTTTTGTGCTTAAACTTGTAGCTTTTAGCACCAACCATTTGTCTGAGTTCAAATCACTGGAATTCCAAATGTTGATCTTAATTTGAGTTGTTTTTATTTTAGATCAGCTCAGCTCTTATGTCTAGATTTTTGGACTCATTTCTTGGTATTTTTGTCTAACTTTAGTATATTTTCTTTAAGCTAAATAGTGAAATAAACTATCTTTCTACACTTGCACATAGCTTATCTTGAATTGAATCAGAAAAAAAACATTTTGAACCCAGGCAAAAAACTTTAAGCACTTAAAGTTGCAATATGTCACTTTTTTGGAGGGGGTCCACCACCTGCTTGTCTGTATGGAGATGCTATTGTTTTGCCTGTCATTTTACACAGTATTGCATTAGACTTGCTGATCATATGTTATATTACAGTGGAAGCGTTGGGGTCACCTGCTTGTCTCAAAGGTGTCATAGATAAGTTTAATACCACTGAAGGAATAGACATCTTGCAGTCACTCCTATCACTCACTGTACCATATTAAAGCCTCAAATAATATGTAGAATAATTGCAATATATGTAACGAAAATAACTGGATTTACTAGCTTTTTGAAAGTCCAGTTGTTTTCTTTTCTCTTGCTTATAATATTGTATTCCTGGATGTCTCAAAATTCGTATCAGTTAGTGACCAAGGTTTGTATTGTAGGTGTGAACCAGTTTGGAGCACCTTTTCTTTAAATATACCTGAGCTTATCCGATTTCATAATTAATAATTCTGTCAACTGGAAACTAAAAATAGATGTCAAGTGTTGCCATGGGGATAAAAAATATGCCTATTAATTATATGCAGTGATTTTTTAAAATATAAAGCTATAAATAATTTTACAATTTTAAAGCAATTTATTCAATATGAAATCATCAGTAGACTCAGTGTAGGTTTTATCCTGAGCGTGTGAAAAAGGCCACCTCATGTAACCTCCCTAATCCAATCCCATCATGCTCTCTGATTCTTCTTTAGACTTCCTACCCAGCCCCTCGTCCTTCTGTCCTCAAATTATAATGTAAACGCTACCTGGGCCTTTTGCTCCTTTGTGTTAGAGAAACCTGACTCAGGTAAGCCTCTTTTACAGGTGAAGAGGGGGCGGGGCTTACAGTTGTTGTGCAGATTGGCCCCGCCCCCCCAATTGCAGCCAAAAACATTATGCTTTTAACAGTCTGCTACCACTGCGTCTGTTTTGTAATTAAAAACACGTTATGCAAAATGTACATTTTCTAGCCTCTAAAAATGTTGTTCTCTCACCAAAAACATACATGTAGTTGTACAGTTACAATTACAGTCGGTTAATTCAGGCTTCTTTCATTAATTCTATTAATGAGGTCCTTTTGCTCTCAGAAATCAGTTTTCTCCAAATTGTTACGTCATGGGTAGAAATCTGGTGCAGTTCATAAATCATTGCCAGACTTGTTCTGTACTTTTCTAGCCTGGCTGGCGCCACCTAGTGTCTCCACTCACTTTCATTTCTCTCCAGCAACTAAGGTTAGGAATCGGAATACACTAGAGCATTTGCAAGAACCCCGGAAGTTGCAGACCGCGCACTGGCCAATCAGCTTTGTTTGCTGTTGTGCCGGCAATTACTTGGACACCACTGAGTGTTCCGGCGCATTACATACATCACAACCAAATAACAGCTATTGCTTAAATAAAAAGTACCTGCCTATTGTCAAGCAAATGTATCCTAATGCTGCGAGGTCAGACAGTTTCCACAAAGTGAAATCGGCTGATGAATCAGACTAACACTTTTCTACCATCAAAATGCATTCATTACAACATGCTTATATTAGTATCCCAATTTCTTTCATAATATGGCATAAAATTCAATCTTACATAGATTCAATTACAGGTGTTTTTATTGCTGAAAAAGTACAATGAAGAACATGCATTTTTTTGAGCAGGTCTCCCCACAGAACTGCAGCATGCAACCTGGCTTCATGGCACCACCTGCATGTTTATATAGAGATGACGAGTTTAATGCCATACTGTGGAACATTCCAGACAAAGCAATAACATCCCTATGGAGACAAGCAGGTAGACCACCCTTCAACAGAAAAGTTACACTGCGCACCTTTATAGAGGATGTTTGGTGTCCACTATGCTGTTGATAGTGTTGGGAAGAATACTTTAAAGGTCTTATATTACACAAAATTGACTCTTGTAAGCTTTTAGCCATGATGTTACCTCCTCAAAAACATACCTGGAGTTGTGTTTTGTTTTATTTACACAAGATTGAGCAATCCTTTATTAGTGTGTATATATAACCAAAGCTCAAAATGCTCTGCTCCACCTTGGGATGTCATGTAGTGGTAGTTTTCAAGTTAACTGCTACTTTTTATATTTTGTTCAGTAGAGATTGGCAATTCCAGGACTGAAATTCCAAATTATTCCAGAGAAGATGTATGGACTGTGGTCATCAGAAGGTGGAACACAGGGTCTTCCATTTGAGAGAAGAATTCAACTTAAATATGCAGGGTTTGTGTGTTGAATGAAACAAAACAAAACTTAACGTATGTTTGTGATGAGGAAACAACTTTATAACTTGGATCCGAAAATAGTGTAATATAGGCTCTTTAAAAATGTAGTTGTGCAATATTGAAATACTTTGAAATGTATTTTGACTAAGTCTAAAGCAAACCTCAACCTACACCTACAGAAGGGACTATAAACTCTACTTGAATTTAACATGTAACAACAACTTGTTCCTATAATGTTTTAAATGAGTTTCCAACTGCTACCCTCACTTTTTAATCTACTCGATGCCATCCGCCAATACAGCCCTGACTGACAGCTCCGATCCTTATATCAAACATATGCTGTGAGTACACAACCATACAAACATTGGCAGCGTCTTAACAGGCTTCTGAGTCCTGCTATATTTACTGAGAGTCCAGGCACTGACACCTTTTTCACAGCTCTCTCCTCGTGGGATATTTTTGTCATGTTACTCCCCACCTCCACCTAAGACATGTTTTCAAAGGCTTGGGGGTAGTTTGGCGCTACCTTTGGCATGAGCAAGTTAACAGTGCGGTGACAAAGGCCAAGCTGTGCCAGTGTAAGTGGTTTTGTAGAGAAAACAGGAGGGCATGACAATAGCGGATGTGTTAGAACTAAAACCAACAAAAAGTGTGAAGCAATTTTGTAATTATTGTTATTGTGAGGAAGAACCACAACTGCTAAGAGCAGAGGCATTTTTTTTTTAATTTTTTTTTACAATTTTATAGAACCATAGTTTTTTAAATTATCATTTTAATGACCCCCCAGCCAGAACCACACGCTCTGACAAAACTTTACAAACACAAATGGACCTGGAGCTATAGTCTTGTCTCCCTGATTTCACAGGGTGTGACTGACAGGCAGATTAACCAATCAGAGAGAGGCATTGGTACATTTACATCAAAAATAAATATGGCTGCTCACACTTACAGGGAAAAAAACTACATAAAGGACTGAGTAACAGCATGGATTTTGCAGAATCACCAATCATAGCAC